TCACTTTCTACTCCTGATGATCAGTGGTACATGGACACCGGAGCAACCTTGCATATGACGGCCAACGAAGGTAATCTCTCGTCCTATTTCAATATGAGTAATAATATTACTGTCGGTAGTGGTCAAAATATTCCTGTAATTGGTTGTGGACATGCATCATTACCAAATTCCCTTCATTTACTAAAATTACCTAATGTTTTACATGCACCAAAACTCATAAAAAATCTTATCTCTGTTCGTAAATTTACCATAGATAATGATGTGTCGGTTGAATTTGATCCTTTTGGTTTTTCTGTGAAGGATTTTCAGACAGGAATATTGTTAATGAGATGTAACAGTTCTGGTGACCTCTATCCCATTGCCACAAGACCACCTAATAAAACCTTACCACCATCCACCTTTGCCGCAATATCCACAGAATTATGGCACAACCGTTTAGGACATCCAGGAGCTACTATCTTAAGTTCTCTACACAGAGACAACTTTCTCCAATGTAATAAGTCTCGAAACAATTACTTTTGTAATTCATGCCCTCTTGGAAAACAAATAAAATTTCCCTTTTATAGCTCTGTGTCTCGTACTTTTATGCCTTTTGATATTGTGCACAACGACCTCTGGACTTCACCAATTCTTAGTTCAGAAGGTCATTGTTACTATGTGTTATTTCTTGACGATTACACAAATTTTTTATGGACTTTTCCAATTCATACAAAATCTCAGGTTCATTCCATTTTTCTTCAATTTAGAACTCACATTGAAACACAATTTGAAAGAAAAATTAAATGTTTCCAATGTGACAATGGTAAAGAATATGATAACACTATGTTTCATAATTTTTGTAAAAAAAATGGAATGTCTTTTAGATTTTCGTGTCCTCACACCTCCTCACAAAATGGAAAAGCCGAAAGAAAAATTCGTACCATAAACAACATCATTCGTACCCTTCTCGCCCATGCCTCTTTACCTCCATCAATGTGGCATCATGCACTACACATGGCCACTTACCTACATAATATCCTTCCAAATAAAAAGCTTTCCCTTCAATCACCCACTAAAATACTCTACCAAAAAGATCCGGCCTATACTCACCTTCGTGTCTTTGGATGTCTTTGCTATCCTCTCATCCCTTCATCATATAGAAATAAGTTACAAGCTCGGTCTACACCTTGTGTCTTCTTAGGATATCCCTCAAATCATAGAGGATATAAATGCTATGATTTATCTAGCCGTAAAATATTTATTTCCCGGCATGTCATTTTTGATGAAACTAAGCTTCCGTTTTCTAATCCAAATGTTCCTACAACGGTTGGTTATACTTTTTTGGATGACGACACACCCTTCCTTCCATCCTATTCCTATAGTGCTCCCTCCTCTAACCATCAAAATCACACTTCACCCCTAACTACACCAGTTCAAACAAACATTTACCAACCATCACCATCTTCTTTGAATTCGCCTTCGTCACCCTCCCACAATCCCACCTCACCAACCATAACATCAGCCCCATCCACAACATCACCTCTAAACCCATCATTACCAAATATCGTCTCATCCCCATCCACTACATCACTTCCGACTCCTCCACCTTCACAACAAAATCAGCCCCTCTCCCCTCAAATGACAACTAGAGCCCAACACGGTATCGTCAAACCTCACAAACTCTTCAATCTCCATACATCAACCTCAACCTCCATATCCCCTCTACCTACAAATCCCAATGATGCATTAAATGATCAAAATTGGAAAATGGCCATGAAAGACAAATATGATGCTCTTATTGAAAATAAGACGTGGGACTTAGTTCCTCGTCCGTCTAATGCTAATGTTATTCGAAGTTTGTGGATTTTCAGGCATAAAAAGAAATCTGACGGATCTTTTGAGAGATACAAAGCTCGCCTTGTAGGTAATGGTGCAAATCAACAAACAGGTATTGATTGTGGTGACACATTCAGCCCGGTGGTCAAACCGGCTACCATTCGAACGGTTTTAAGTGTTGCTTTATCTAAATCATGGTGTCTTCATCAATTAGATGTTTAAAATGCTTTCTTGCATGGGAACCTTCATGAAACCGTATACATGCATCAACCTCCTGGATTTCGTCATTCTCAATTTCCTGATCATGTCTGTTTATTGAAGAAATCTCTATATGGTCTCAAACAAGCACCTCGCGCCTGATACCAGCGCTTTACTGATTATGTAGCTACAATGGGCTTCTCTCACAGTATTTCTGACCACTCTCTTTTTATATATCATCATGGTAATGATATAGCTTATATTCTTTTGTATGTGGATGACATTATTCTTACTGCATCATCTGACACTCTTAGAGAATCTATCATGACACAATTGAGTTCCGAATTCTCCATGAAGGATCTGGGGCCTTTAAGTTATTTTCTGGGTATTTCTGTCACAAAACATCCCGAAGGCCTTTTTCTTTCTCAAAAGAAATATGCAGAAGAAATTATCGAACGAGCTGGTATGTCCTCCTGCAAACCATCCCCCACACCAGTAGACACAAAGGCGAAACTCAGTGGTTCATCCGGTAACCCTTACCATGATCCAACCGAATATCGTAGCCTTGCCGGAGCATTGCAATACTTAACATTCACTCGACCAGACATCTCATATGAAGTTCAGCAGGTATGTTTATTTATGCATGATCCAAAAACTCAACACATGTCTGCCTTGAAACGCATTATTCGTTACATTAATGGTACCGTAGATCTCGACCTTCATCTGTACCCTTCATTTGTCGACAAGCTCATTTCTTACACAAATGCAGATTGGGCCGGTTGTCCTGACACAAGAAGATCTACCTCCGGCTACTGTGTTTATCTCGGTGACAACTTGATCTCATGGTCCGCAAAACGCCAACATACCTTGTCTCGTTCAAGTGCCGAAGCCGAATATAGAGGCGTAGCTAATGTTGTGTATGAATCATGTTGGTTACGCAACTTACTCTTGGAACTATGTTGTCCTGTCACAAAAGCTACTCTGGTATATTGTGACAACATCAGCGCGGTTTATCTTTCCGACAATCCTGTTCAACATCAACGCACCAAACATATTGAAATGGATATACATTTCGTGCGTGAGAAAGTTGCTTGCGGTCAAGTACGCGTTCTTCACATTCCATCGCGTTTTTAGATTGCTGACATCTTCACAAAGGGACTTCCGTTGCAACTCTTTGATGACTTTCGTGATAGTCTCAACATTCGTTCACCTCCAGTTTCGACTACGGGGGTGTATTAGATATGTAAATATAGAAAGATTATTATTAGTATTGATTACCAATGATTATTAGAATCATAACCACATATTTATACTGTGTATATAAATGACTATCACATGAATGAAAAGGCACGGCCTAAATTATCTTACATGACACAACAATCCAGTATAATATATGAAGTATAAGTATAATCTACCGTCAAATATGACTCTCATACAATTAAATACAATCAACATTCTACAATGTGATACGAAATTTCACTCAAATACATGAACTCAAATAAACACGCAATAAAAATTTCACAAAAATCACACAAAACCTAATACCCATACAATAATATTGCAAAAAAAAAAAACCCTACAATATGATACGACAAAGACGGTATAATTTGAAGGTAACATGTGGGACCAACCTGAACTTCAATGAAAGTATTTTATGGTTTTGTGATACTATAATGAGACAATTATATGCAGCTTTCAATGCCCTTAACAATGTAAGAGACCAAACTAAAACACATATTTCAATGCCTCAATCATACACAACTTTAAACAAATATTGAGGTTAATGTGTTGAGAAATGATATTTTGATATAAGGTGTCATACATAGTGTAAAATATTTAGTATTTAAATAACATTTCTCTAATATATTATATGTGTTTCTTAAGATTCATATTGTCCTAAAACATAGCCCAAATTCACATAAACTTAAGTTATTGAACCCTTAAAAAATGGTTGTAGTGTTGGAAAGACTTTTCTTAAAAGTCCTATAGTACTATAGTAGAATTAGGGGTGTTCAAAATCAAACCGGCCCAATAGAAAACCGCAAAACCGAACCGAATCAAACCGAAACCGCAAAAAACTGCATTTGGTTCAGATGCGTTTGGGTCATTTTCTCACGGAACCGCGCGGTTCGGTTCGGTTTGCGGTTTGTATTTTACAAACCGAATCAAACCAAACAAAACTGCATTATGTTATAAAATCTTACTAACTAGTAACCAATATATATTTCTTTAATTCTTTAGAGAAATCAACATGTATTATGTTTATATTTTATCATACTTTGTATTATATTTATTTTAATTTACAAATCATAAAAAAATAAAATATTATTCATTTATAAATACTATTTTCACAAAATATATTTTATCGTATTTTTCGTATAATATTTATTTAAGAATGTAATCTTGTTTATATTATTCTTTAGATTTAGATAAAATTATAATACGTAATTTTATGTATCAAATTATAAACTTATTTTGACAATTATAAATTTTTTTATGGTAATGTATGAATAATTAAACGCAAAATTATATTTTCCTCTATATTTATATGTATGGCTTAATAATTTTTTTTGTAAAAAATCGAACCAATCTAAACTGCATTAACTTGGTTTGGTTTGGTTCGGATTTATTTTTAAAATTCAACCGAACCAAACCAAACCGCATGTTTTTTTCTCTTGCAGATCGGGTGATTTTTTACTTCAAAACCGCCCAAACCGCACCGCAAACACCCTAAGTAGAATGTTTCATGAGTTTTGTAAACAATGGAGAGAGAGAGATTCCTAGGAATGGTCAAATAGTCATGAATGGGGCCGGCAGAAGGTCAATATGAAATACAGCCAACACGCCTCCATTTCATTAACTGCAACTCTTTATCAACTTGACAACAACTCCTTCTCTCTATTTCTCAATCTTTTCCCCTTTCTCACTATTTTCTTCAATAACAACAACAATTCCATGGACTTGTTATGGCAGAGCCTTAAGACGCTATGAGCAAGTCCAAAAATTTCTTTCATAATCTCATCAAGCCCTTCAAATTTGGTTCCAACAGAGGTAATTAAATTAACCAACAAAATCCAATTCTTTCTTCTCTTTTCTATCCGTTTCTGATTTGTGGTGTTTTGTTAGAGGAAAGGAGCGAAGACGATATACAGAACATAGCTACACAGGAGCGAAGAACATTTTCCTATGAAACATTGCTTGCTGCTACCAACAACTTTCAAGCTATTAACAAACTTGGAGAGGGAGGATTTGGACCTGTCTACAAGGTAAATAAATATAAACCAAAGAACCTGTTTTTTAAGCTTTTCAATTAGTAATGATCAAATGCAAGATTCAATTGGCTCAAACAAGTTATTCAATTCTGATTAGTTACAATGACTCTTTTTTGGTTTAAGGGTAAATTGAATGATGGGAGAGAGATAGCAGTGAAGAAGCTATCGCATGGTTCGAATCAAGGGAAGACACAGTTTGTTGCGGAGGCCAAGTTGTTGACTCGTGTGCAGCACCGTAATGTGGTGAATTTGTTTGGTTATTGTATCCATGGTAGGGAGAAGCTTCTTGTGTATGAGTATGTCCCTCGTGAGAGCCTTGACAAGTTCCTATTCAGTGAGTCTTTCTTATTCTAGTCTCTTGAACAAAATTAAGACCACATATCAAAAACTATAAAATTTCCTTAAGTATCTTTTAGAACATATGAATTGTTTTCATACATAACTTTCTTTATAATATATAGTTTAAAAACAGAAATATTAAATCACTATTTTAAAACCAAACAAGTTATTATCTGGTTTGAACACTAAGCTTACTTCTTCCTTGTTTTGAAATGCAAAATTCAATGAGTGTTTTCATGGACATTCTTTCTCACAGATCTTTTTCGGTTTTAGGTGCCATATGTATTTTGTAATCTTGTAGAGGGTGTATTAAGCTAATTGACTGTTTGACTCAATATTTGGCTGGCCATGAAGTGTGTGAATATGTTTTTTTTTTCCATCACAGATTTCATTTGTGTTAACTGAACATGGACCTTTTCACACTTTAGTACTCTTATTTGGATTTATCATTGAAGTTGATACACAAGTCTTCTTTATGGGTAGATGGTACATGAGTCTTTTATGTGTAGATGGTACATGAGTCTTTAATGTGGTTGCAGCATTGAAACAGAAACTTGATAACGTGTTAAAAAAATTTATGTCCGTTGAGTTGTATCATTAGAGATGCTCTTGGCTAGTTTTGTTCTCGGCAAATTTTACGGTGATAGGTGAGACACTGTTGTCTCTAATACTTAAAAATTGTTCGAAACTCTAACGAATACAGACACCGCCTTCCAAAAGTAGAAGTTCATTGTCCTCCTTATTCTCACACGTGACTTAATTGGTGCCGGTTTGCCAAAAATAAGGAAAAACAAAATTGTGTCTCAAAATTCAACTCATATTTGTTTCCTTGTTTTTCTCAAAACGACACTGATACAATCACCGTCTAAGGCGTAAGGAGGAGGACCATAATCATAAGCTTATGCTGCTGAGAGGCTTTGCCGACCCCAACCGTCATTAGAGTTTCAAATTATTTTAAAATAGTGATCCACTATGGAGAACCTGCCTTGATTCTTATAGTCAAATATGAAATTTTATGATTTAACAATGAGGAAATATTTTTGTTATTGAATAAACCATCAATTCAGTCCCTAAAGTATCACTCTCTCTCCAATTTATTTCATAAATTATATAAATATAATAGTCTCAAAAGCATATGAAATGGAGTTCAACAGAAACTTCCTTTCCCAAGAGAAATCCTTCTAAACATGATTATGTGGAAATTTACATACGCAGAATCAAAAAAGAAAGAAGGGCTAGATTGGAAACGTAGATTTGACATAATCAATGGAGTGGCAAGAGGTTTACTTTATCTTCATGAAGACTCTCACAACTGCATAATCCATCGTGACATAAAAGCGGCCAACATTTTACTTGATGAAAAATGGGTCCCTAAGATTGCTGACTTTGGCTTGGCTCGTCTCTTTCCAGAAGATGAAACTCATGTCAATACACGTGTGGCTGGAACACAGTAAATTATACTCTTTCTTCTTTTCATTTTTTCAACAAAATGCATTTATTCATATCCATTCATTATAGTCCAAGTCAATGTCAGTGCATTTTCCATCATAGTCCAAGTCATTATAATTCAGTGTCAATGCATCCTACAAACAAAACATCTGATATTTATCTATCAATAGTTTAATTAAACATGTTACAACTTGCCAGGTATTTTTCAAGTGGTGCATATTACAATCACGTCCATGAAACATTAAATCATATACTATGAAATAGTTTTTGCATAGAAATGGAGTTCAAAACTGAAAATTTGAGAAGTAGATCATAACTCTTTTATGAACTAGTATTATATAATATATATTGGATTTTGATAAAATTCATTTATGAAAATAGTTTCTTACTAATGTTATAAAAACCCGATAAATATGCAGTGGATACATGGCTCCAGAGTATTTGATGCATGGACACTTATCTGTGAAGGCAGATGTGTATAGCTATGGAGTTTTGGTGTTGGAGTTGATTACTGGCCATCGAAACTCATCCTCTGACCCTGTCTTCAACGGAGACAATCTCCTTAATTGGGTAAATTTAGCATCGGATCTAATAATATTAGGAAACTTGTGGTTATGAACAAAAGCTCTTAGTTGTGAACAAAAGTTTCTCTAAAATAATTGGTGATTTCAATCACATTTTTTCGATTCTTAATTTGTTTTTTGTTTTTCTTCAGGCATACAAGTTATACAAGAAAGGGAGGTGGTTAGAAATGGTAGACCCCACAGTGGCATCTTCAGTGGAGATAACAGAACAAGTGGAAGTGTGTATTCGAGTGAGTCTATTGTGCACACAAGGAGATCCACAACTTCGTCCAACAATGGCGCGTGTGGTATTGATGTTATCTAAGAAGCCGCCAAGTCACATGGAAGAGCCAACAAGACCGGGTATACCTGGTTCTAGATACAGAAGAACAGTACCTCGCAGTCGCACCTCTTTTACTACCGATGATGAGAATGACTCCTCTGCTTCACACGTTGATTCAAGCAATTATGATACTACTATGGCTACTATTACGGCTACCAGTTCTACTTCTGCAACAAGAACAAGAACGAGCTCTGCCACTGCACAAGCAGATTTGCGAGGGAAACGTCCAATGCTATCTTCATGATATCATTTGATCATTCTCTTCTCTCTTTGGAGAGAGATTTAGGGTTATATATATATGATTCTTTTGTTATTCTTTTTGTAGCATATTTTTTGTATATGTAAGTTTGTATTAATTATGGTTGTAAATGTTTTTAGGAGTAGGTTAAGAATAATGGATTGAAAGCAAATGCATGTTTTTTTGCTTCTGGTTTTGTTTTCCTACAACACTATAAGGTTACCTTCGAATGGGAAAGTAACATGACACACTACAAGAAAGACTGTCGTATAGCTACAACAGTTTTATTGACTGAATTTTTTTCACATAATTTTAGCATCAATGTTTCCTTTATTTTTTTTAAAGAACAAGGTCGAAATGTGCAGTTCGTGAAGTCTTCATTTTCTGCTCACAAACACATAAAAAACTCCCGGAGAAAATGTGAATAAATCATTAAAATTGCAATTAGTAAAATAGACTCCAGATAAGATGAAATAATATTGTTGTTCAGGTACACCAAAAGATTCACATTGTGAATCGAGACCAATGATGTTATATATTTGTTTATCGGGAAAAATGGTAAACAACCGCTGATTTTCTAAAAGGTTACTTATTTGGTGACTAGTAGGATCGATCAGATTGATCATAAGACATGGTTGATTTGTTGTAGTTCGACTAATCCTAATGGTGATTAATGCCAGTAAAGTAAAGACACTTTAAGTAAATTGCATGGAGAAAAGCTTGATAGAATAAATAAAAGCGTTTAAGGAATTGTTAAATAAAAGGCTTCGACGGAAGTAAATAAATGAACAACGGTAAATTGCTTGAATATGAAAGATTTTGATTAATTTAAATGGTGTTTCACACATACATTCTCAATGATTCTTTCTCTCACGCTGGGTACTTGAATCTAAATGAGTGACTTGTATAAAATGATGAACACACTAATAACTACATAAAAACTTAGTATTTATACTAAGAAAAATCCTAAGTAACCGCTGGGCAGTTACACCGCTTCGAGATGACGCCAGATGGCACGCTCACAACCTTCGACGCCTATGTTCTCGACACGTTGCACTTGGTAACTGCTGGGCACCGTTTTCCCTCCAACAATTCAAATCTCAAACCACTCGACCTTGGGCATCAGGGACCTTTGTCGAGAGGTTCCTTCGACGTCGAAGACAACAAGATTCCAACTTAAAGGAATTTCCCTAAGTATCTTGTCATTCTTTGATGAGCCTTCGACATGATCAGTTGGTCGAAGCCTTCTTATGTAGGAAATTCTTCTGACTCATAATTAATGGTCTATATGATAATAAACATGGGTGTCGAATTTAGGAGCCAACAAATTGCCCCCCAAGAATGTCTTATTTCGACACTGAAAAGAAAAAGACATTCTTTGATATTCCATTCGACACCTGTCCTTCATTCTCAGCCACAAATTAGTTTGTGCGCTTTTCGTCTCCTACCAACCAACTGACAATCTTAAAAAATCATTATTTCACCTTTTCCCAAGACGTCACTTCAGTAAGGCATTTTTGCACGCACGATGTCCTTTCAAATGTTGTCATCATGACTATTTCCCAAAATCGAGGACGCACGCTGCAACGTTTCCGCTCTTCAGAACGGTTACAACACCAAATGAGTGCCACGTGTGTTTACCTGGGTATTTGGTAAACAACCGCTGATCCTCCAAATGGTTACTTATTTGGTTACTCGCAGGATCGATCAGATTGATCCTAGGACATAAGTTGATTTTGAAGTTTTGGTTAAATTGGATAATGGTTAAACGACAATAAAATAGAGGAGCTTTAAGTAAATTGCATGAAGGAATAGACTTGGTAAAATAAATGAAGGATTGAAGTAAATGAAGGCTTAAAATAAAAGGGGTTCGACAGGCAAAGTAAAGAAGAAAGCAAGTAAATTTCTGGAAAAGTAAATGACTTTGATTAATAAAGTTGGTGTTTCACACATACATTTCTCAACAATTCTTTCTCACACGCTGGGTACTCGAATCTATATGAGTGACTTTGTATAGAATTGTGAACACACGCGAGAAACTACATGACTACCACTATTTATACTAAAACATCCCAAGTAACCGTCGGGCAGTTACACTGCTTCGAGATGATTCCACTTGGCACGTTCTCAACGTTCGACGCTCCAGATCTTTGCACGTTGCACTTGGTAACCGCTGGAAACCGTTTTCCCTCCAAACGCTTGAATTTCAAACCGTTCCACTCTGAACCATCGAACACCTTCGTCGAGAAGCATCTTCGACGAGAAACTCCTTCGACGTCGAAGGCAACCAACTTCTCCCTTGGAAGAAATCTTTTAAATACCTTGTCATCTTTCGATGGGCATTTCGACGGACCTAGCTAGTCGAAAACATCCTTCAGTTTTAATGGCTGACATTAATAAAACAAGGATGTCGAATTTAGGAGCCAACAAATTGCCCCCCAAGAATGCCTTATTTCGACTCTGAAAGAAAAAGGCATTCTTTGAAACGCCATTCGACACCTGTCTTTTCACGCTTAGTCACAAATTTAATTGTGCACTTTTTGTTGTCTTCTACCAACCACTGGCAATCCCAAGAAAACCATCATTTATCCGTACCTAAGACGTCACTTCAGTACAGCGTGCAGTACCAAACGTCATTTCAAAATTTGTCATTATGACAATTCCCAAAAACGAGGACGCACGTTGCGTCCCTCTATTTCTGCAGAACGGCTAAAACAACAGGGGGATGCCACGTGTCCCACTATCTCCTGCAACATTAAATGGCATTTAATGTCCTCGGTTTTGGGGATTTTCCCCCACTACTATAAATAGCAGTAAGTACCCCATTGTGGGACTTTTTACGCCATCTAGCTTTCAGACTTCTCTGTTTTCATACAAACTTGTCATCTTTGCAAAAACCTTTCCTCCTTCACTTCGTCTTCAACCTCATCATTAACAATGGCATCTGGTTCCAATGCTCCTAGCGCTACCGTACCATCTGGAAACGTCAAACCTAAGGTTTTCGTCACTGCTCCAGTAGTAACTTCTGCGGGCCAACGAAGGGTCCCTGAACCCTTGGACATCGCAGTACGTGATGCTTACTCACACCACCTTATGATCCCGGTTGGATATTCCAACCAGATCGTTGCTATGTCTGGCCCATTGTACCCAAGTATTGCTGAGGCCATGAAGATCAAGAGTTATTTTCCGGTAGTTGAGAAACTCAAACCGGTTGCATGCGCCAAGAAAGATGCAGAGGATAATGAAGACCCTGCTAAAGAGAAAATCGACCTCCGTTTCTTCAACAAAGGTGTTAGGGCTTTCAGGTCTAGCCCTAGCCTTACTCCTGATTACGTTGCTTGGCTGGAAAAGATGGAGAAACGCCAAGCTTCGATCTGGAAAGACATGGGGATTTTCGACCTGGTGATGCTGTCGAAGACAGGTTTGAACTATTCTCCGGAGATGTTGATAGCTTCTCTACTTTTCTGGGACTACTCCCACTTCACTTTCCATCTTCCCTGTGGGATGCTGACTCCTACACTCTTCGATGTGGCCGCTATCACTGGCCTTCGACCCACAGGGGACTACTTCGATCCGGAGGAGATGTCGGAGGATCAAATTGGATTCTCTGCCACCAAACCAACCTACACCACCTTCATCAATCACTACCACGACAGGTCGACAGATGCTGTGTCGGATGTCGAACACATTGCGTTCCTAGCCTTATGGCTGTCACGCTTTGTGTTTTGCACCAAATCTTTACAGGTGACCAAGAAGATGGTCACTCTCGCCACTCAACTCCACCACGGCCAAAATATCTGTTTGGCAGAATTGATTCTGGCGAACCTGTACGAGTCGATTAGCAACGGAGCGACTCTTCTGAAGATCGTCGAGAACAGGGCCAGTCTGCTGCTTGCTGGACCTTTTTGGTTGCTCCAACTGTGGCTCAATGCCACCTTCGAATCTTTCTTGCCTAAGAAGATTCAAATAAATGAGCAGGCTCCAGAGATAGCGAACAGACGTGTCGAAGGAACCAGACTGGCTCTGTTGACCCCAATGGAAGATGGGCTGGAGTTTCAGCAAACTTTCACAAACTTCGTTCTGATGTTTGCTAGAAGGAAAGAGTTTGCTTCGACTATGGCTCCGTTTGCCCGACGGAAGGTAGGCCCAGCGTGGTTCACGAGGCCACATCCTAGGACGTCGAGTGGTCCTCAAGTTGACGAACACACAACAATGTGGGAGGCGTTCCTCACACCAAGGATCATGCCTCTTCGATTCAAGAGCTCTAAGACTCACTTGGGTCTGATTGCATACCAACCAAACCTGGTATCTCGCCAGTTTGGTATTATTCAAACCTTACCCTCTCCAATTTTTCCAAGAGAGAAGTCTATGTTGTACTTCTGCAATGATTACACCGAAGAGGCTGCCACTAAACATATCGAAAGATATGCTGGTCGAACAGTTCTCTCGTTGTTTGACTACCAGCTCAACTTTCTTTGCTCACCATCCTTCGAGGAGTGGTGGAAAAGTTATTACGCTGAGGAGTTTTTCGACGAGAAGGACTTCGTGGATGAGCTTCAGAAATCTTTTGTCCTTGTGTTGGACAAAATAAAAAAATGTAAGTTCATCCTTTCACATTACTTGGTCTTTCTCTTTCGACTGCTAGCCTGTTAACTATTTATTTGATTTCAGTTGTTCGAAAGCCTGCAGCCAAGAAGGCTGCAGAAATCCAACAGGGAGGAGGCCCCTCAACAAAACCTCCACCGCCGGCGAAGACTACAGCGCCGGCGAAGACCACAACCAACCAACAGGGGGAAGGTCCTTCGAAGAAGCCTTCTGTATCGGTAACCAGACTTTCATTATTTTCTTCTGGCTTTCGATTTTTGACTTTCGATGCAATTGCTAAATCGAATTCCCATTGGTTTTCTAGGCACCTTCGCCCAAGAAACGGCCAGCACTGGTGGTCGAATCTGGGAGCGATGAAGAAGGTGATTCTCCCCCTGCTCCTCTAAAAAGGCGAAAGCTGA